TTGAAAAGTTTAATAAAAACTTCATTTGGTCCTTGAGACGTCCATATGTAGAAAATAGAATTCTAGTTTATCCGAACGTAATGCCTTTTTGTGCAAGGTCCTTTTTAATTTTCAAAATTTGCGCGTTTTAAAGTGCAAACCTCTGTCCAGACATCTAACCAAGTGCAAAGTGTCTTGCCCAAACGTCTGAAGAGCGAATCTCCACAATAAAATTAAGATTAAGGATTTCATTCGTTAATGCGGAGTTTTTTGTGTAATTTTTTAGATGAGACGGTTTCCTATGAAAGTTATAAATGAAGATTTCTTGTAAGATTAAGGATTTCATTCGTTAATGCGGAGTTTTTTGTGTAATTTTTTAGATGAGACGGTTTCCTATGAAAGTTATAAATGAAGATTTCTTGCAATTAGGGTTCCGGGTAAAGAGATGGTTTCGCAAGGTTTCTAAATTTGCCGCCCGTTGGATGGGAAGGAAAAAAAACTTGCAGAACGGTGGAATGATTTGCTTGCAAGTATTTTCCTTGGAAAAGAGTTTTGGGGAGCAGTGGGGAGTATGACTTCCCCACAATGATTAATGTGACTTCATTCGAATGCTAATCTCATATTAGGTATTGAATGCTTGCTTGTTACGAGAGAGGTACGAGTCCTTGGTCAAATTACATATAACTACTGTTATACTTGTCTTAAATCCTGTTTTTTTTTCTCAGTTTTAATTAAGAAAAATTATAACTAATTTTAAGTGATTAGGTAACTAAATTTCAACTTTTCTAGTTTCTACGTAGAAATTGCAAAGAAATTATTTAGAGTAATATATGAATTCAAATTTTTTTAATCAAAATAATTCATATTGTTGCATACCAAAGTAATAAAGACTAAGATTCCAAATAAACTGACCAAGCACAAAGAACTTGAACCCAGTGGAATCAAAAATTACAATTGGCAACGTAGAAAGAAATGAACTTGCAAGAAAGATGGCCTCAAATCCTAGAAAAATTGCACCTCGAAGTTGCATTTTCATTGTATCGGCCTTCCCCAGGCTCATTCCATTATTAACCAACTGAACTGCTATCATAAACTGGATAGAAACCAAATTACAGAAGAGAATTTTTGAAGCAGAGACGCTCACATAATCATTTTCCGCCCATGAGAAGAGAACGGCCGCTAACAAACACATTTGTACAAACAATTAGGGTTTACATGAATTTGTCACAACCACAGAATCATAAAAGAGAGGGGAAGCGATGAAAAGCGCATCATCCCAACCTAAAGTTGGTCGATTTAGCAATTGAAGTCAACGCGTGCCCTTGTCAAGGTAAAGAATAGCCATCGATTTAACAATTGAATGTCAACGCGTGCCCTTGTCAAGGTAAAGAATAGCCATCGATTTAGCAATTGAATGTCAATGCGTGCCCTTGTCAAGGTAAAGAATAGCCATCCTCGAGACATTCTGTTTTCATATCTGCCATTATGCGCTGAAGCTCAGAAGGATGACCGGTAACAATGGCATCAACATGTTCAAACAACAACCTCTGCATGGAGCCAGCATCATCAACTGTCCAAGCATAGACTTTCTTGCCCTTCCTATTTGCACCAGATACTCCGTTAAGCAGTGTTTGCACAATGCTTTGTGTAAATTCTTGTTAGGGTTAAATTGCAGATACACCTCCTATACTATGACGGCGAAGCCACCTACACCCCATAATTTATTTGCCATTACACCCTCTGAACTTCAGACAATATTATTACCCCAGTTAGATTGAGATGTACGTGGGAATCACATGGCATAAATTAGCTTCTGCCCTCAGCTTAACTTAAAAAAAGACTAATTTACCCTCTAATTGAGGGGGAAACTAACACCGTCAGAGATATATAAAGAGGGTATAAGTGCTAATAAAAAACTTTAGAGGGTAGTACGAGGGTGTATATGCAAATTAACCCTTCCTATTAAGACGAGTAGGGGGGAAAAGCAATCTCACCCATGCAAGATTCTCACAAGCCTCTCATCAATCAAAGGATGGTAAACACCAGCAACTGTGGCATCTTTCATCCTCAGTAACTTGCTCGTTTTACCAGTCGAAAAATCCTTCAAGACAATGTATCCCACCTGCATTAGCAGCAGCGGCAGTAACAGATGTGATCAAATTAAGGCACGAGGTCCAAAGGAAGGGAGAGTTGCAAATAGAGATATCTTACAGGAACATCTGATGTTAATTTGATCACATCCCTTCCTAGTATGTCACTCTTGGCCCAAATTAAACAATTCTTGCAATTTGTTCTCTGAACCTGCCAGTTTCATCCACATTGATAAAGTTTCAGGCATACTGTCAGAACCAATTTCCTGATGATAATAATTTAATTTTAGTTT